TTTCTTTCTTTCTTTCTTTCTTTCTTTCTTTCTTTCTTTCTTTCTTTCTTTCTTTCTTTCTTTCTTTCTTTCTTTCTTTCTTTCTGCTGTTGTTCAATTTATGTAACAGTCCAACAAACCATTGAAATTGTACTGAACAGTTAAAAGAGAATAAAACTTGAGTGTTTGCCTATCATTTGGTTGGGGATGTATAAACACAGCAACAAAAAGGATATTAATCTATGAGTCTACATGGAATAATTCTACATGGCAGCCAGGCCTCAGTATGCAAATGAAACCAGTGAGAAGTCAAAAAGTCTACTACTGCTCACACTCAGTTATTAAAGGGTTGGAGGGTTGTCCTGTTGTTGCCTCTCCAGTGGACCTGTTGTCACTTTTATTTGCACCAAGGCAGCTGATGTGGCCTTAATGTTTTAGCAGAGTATTTAGCCCACAGCAACATGCCACGCAGCAACCAAAAAACAAAAAGAAGAAAAAAAGGACATGTCAGTTTCTTTCCCTGCCCAGTGTAAGTAATGGCCCCAGCTTGGCCACTCCTATGAAAATTGCCAGCCTCCACCACTGCTGTCTGAATGTGTATTTGACTGGTGTTATGGTTTTACTTTGTTTATCAGATGTTAGGCAGGACAATATATGTAACCCTTTAGGCTCTCATCTTGTGTTTAGCTGCAGCATTTTCTGGCATTAGATAAACTGAAACAAGCAACACTTGTTGATAACAGTAAGAACTGTTTTCCCTTCAGTCACTGAGTGTAGCAGCTGTAATTAGATTATGTCAGCTATTACAACCACTCATTCTTCCAGGTAGGCTATGGATTTGAATGTAATCTGGGATTTGGTGGCTCATTGCTGAGTGGTGTGGAAACCCAGGCACTAGACTGTACCTTATGTTACCAATACAATGCCATGTACAAGTCGACGGGAAAGACTGCTAACACCTGAGTGTGTGAGAAAGTGAGATTAGGTTGGTTGTTATGTAACATTAGCCCAACAACAGTCTGGTAATTGCAGGTGTGTTTGAAAGATTATTGTCTGTCCACTGGATGCTATTTTAAAGACTGTGCTGGGTATAATAGTATGCCTATCAGCCTGAAACAAGAAATTCTGCTGGTTTAAGTTTCATGACTGTCCAGAAATTAGTCTGTCAGACTCTGAAAGTGGTTTGAAATATCTTAGAGAAAGGTGTTTGTGACCTGCAACCTTCACTACATCTTTAACGTCAGATAAGATATAAAATCATGAAAAACATGCAAAAGAAAGGTGGCAAAACAAAATTAAGTCCCCATGCTGTTATATAAATATTATATATAATATATAAATATATATTATATATAATATTATATAAATGTTATATAAATACCCCACCTGAATTCTGGCCATCACACACAGAAGCACAAACACACACGGCTCTCACAGGCGTACACTCATGTCACGAGGTAATCTCCTCTTGTCACTCACTCATTATTAATACAGGATTACTTGTATTCTCAATCCCAAACTCGCACACACACAATACGCACCCCTCACAGAAATACACGCACTGTCTGCTGGGGACCTTCACCGGTAGCAAAGCAGTCAGGTATCTGTGAGCCACCAGCTGGAGTCTCAGGAGTTTCATCCACTTTGAATGTCGCGAGCCTGTGCAGGCCCGCTGCTCACTTTACTGCTGACAGAGGTTTTACCAGACAAGTGTTGGATAGTCATCAGAAGAGAAGATACTACAGCTTTGTAACCCTTGTTTCATGAAGGTAAGAAAAGATTTATATATATCTGATAACAAGGAGAGAAGTTAGAACAGTATGCAATGTGTTTGCATTCACATATGCACCACATTTTACTTAAATAGACAATTAAGATTTCAGAGGATTTTAGATAACTCTAGCGTAAAACAGCTCTACAGACTGTGTGCTGAGGTGATTTTAATGCTTTTGCTTTAAACACTATAGTTTCAAACATGGTGAAGGTCATATCATCGTATGACAGATACTTTTCAGTCTCTTCTTCACCAACTCTTTGTGTCTTTTCCAGATGTTTCCTTGGTCCGCTGTTTTCTCCCTTGAGCCTAAAGTGCCCGGCCAGCGAACAACTGAGGAGCTGGTAACCAACACCCTGATGCTGGAGCTTGGGGCCATGGTGAAGCGCACTGAACGCATCCGCTTGGAGAGGGCGACGGAGGGTCGTCGCCGCCGTCGCAGCTCTTCCTCTACAGCAGACTACAGCTGGCTGGCAACCACCCCGACCCCACAGCCCTTTGAGCTCACTCCCAATGACCTGCTGGAGCTGCAAGACCTCTGTGCCAAAATCCCTCCTGCACAGTGTGGGCCTGTGATTGTCAGGTAAGAAAAACAGGCAGAGGTAGAGACAGAGCTAGAGAACTGGCAGGATAACGGTGAAACTGTTACTATAACTAAAAGACCTACAGATCATTTTCAAATAGCAGAGAGCTGCAGGGTTCCAGTCTAATCCATTTTACACACTAAGCAATAACTCGCTGATACTGTTAGAGCCATACTTATAAAAGTTGACTTTTAAATGTCTGTGTGAGGTTCATATTAACCCCTTATGTAAATCTGAGAATAGAAAAACTGGAGGGTCAAGATGCATGTACAATTTTATAGTTTCTGCGACTATGCTTGCTTTGGTGTGGTGTAAATATGACCCAGCACTAACCCTACCCCTCACTGGTAAATGCCCATAATTAATTCAACAGAGGTCCTTCATAATGATGAATGCATTTTCAGTAAAAAGAGCAAATGTGACTTTTTTCTGGTGTTATCACTGAACAGAGTTGTTTAGACAAAGCGATCAAGTAAATATAAGGGCTTTAAAATCTAATATTTAGTTTTATTAATCTGTGGGATTCAAAAATATGAACAAGTTGACAAAAAAGCAAGAGTCATCAATGAGACTCCATCATTAATAGTCACTTCTGCAAACACGTCCTCTGTTAGAAAAAGAACGTTTCAGACAGGCTATCCACCCTCAAACACCACCAGTGTTTTTCTTACAGTGACATTCCAATTTATTCTTCATTCTCCACCCTTACACTCTTTGTTGGCTGTGTCCTTTTTGTTTTGCCTTAGCTGTAAAGGGGTGTGAATCAAAGTCAGCTCATATTACACTTACTCTATCCCTCTTGCTGCAGGTTCAGGAGGCTGGTGTCACAGATGGAGCCCGAGGTTCACGAGGTTCCTCGGCTCTTTCGCTCAGTGCTGCGTGACTGTGTGGATGAGGCGAACGGAAACGATGAGGTTCCGACCCAGGAAGTGGTGTTTGAGAAGCAGCAGCGCAGCAAAAGCCTCTCCTTTGTCACTTTCCGCACAAAATTCCGCACGGGGTATTTCCCAAAGGGCAGCAACTTGAGAGGCTCCAGGGGGAACCTGCAGCAGCAAGTGGAATGGTCTGATGAGGAGGAGGATGGAGAAGGGGAGGAGGAAGCAATCAAAGCCAGGGCGAGGAAGGGAAGGAGTAAGAGCATGCCAGAGATCACCCCTATAGAGCAGAGTGCTCATGGGTGAGAGAAGTGGGGGGAGTCAGGGGAGAAATAAAGCAGAGGGACATGTGCAAGGGAGGGGAGGAGAAACTAGGAGAGTCACAGAGAAGACTAGGTGAGCCCAGATTGTACAAGACAAGGATTAATGAGGAAGAAAGGGAGAAGTGGAAGTAGCTGCCATTAAAAAATGGGTCAAATAAAAATCTTGAAAACTTAAAAAAATTTTCTTCCTTATTTCAAAAGATGAAGAAAAAAATTCAAGAGAAAGGACTTAAGTAGATTTGCTCACTGGCAGCTTTAGGTAAATCTAAAAGAATTATGGTTCTGGCTTTAAGATGTCAGCAGCCTTTTGTGGTCCTGGTGGGTAAATTAGAAACTGCTGATACTGTTTTACCTACATAAGACCAAAAATACTAAAGGGAATAAATAGCTGTTCCAAATCTGACACGACCTGTTATGCTCATTTCCATATTTCAAGTACCTTTTCCTGATTTCCATTTCAAAATAATCCTGCTTTGTCTCATTCTGGGCCTGGAACCAGTTTTTATGTTAGCTCATCTCCCTTTAAAACCACTTTTGTCTGGTAACGGATGGGTGAGGTTTCTGTATCTGAAGTGGTAAATACAGATCCTCCTCCTTTTGACGGGACCCTTGCCACAGCAGATCATCTGCCTCCATCTCATCCTATCATAAACACATCACATGAACTAAAACTTGTTACATAACAGGACAGCTTTCTTCTGTAGACTCAGCAGCCACAGTTTGGCTCCAGATCACCAGCTCAGTTAACAGATGCTCTCCCATCAAGTAAAGCAGAAAATAATTAGACTCACGTATGATTTTATTGTAATACAACATGTACTTAAGATAATAAATAACCAATTTTCTGATCTTGTCTGTGCAATTAAAACACTTCTTTTACACAAAAATGTCTTCTTTTTTTGTTTTAAATAGATGTTTAGCTAACATTTGAGGCTAATGTTTAAATGCATATCTGTCTGTCTGCATTGTTATAAATGAAAATAAAGAATAAAAGGCCAAATATAAACTGCAGCATTTGTTACAGCTAATTAAAGCTCTGCTGACTAATCCTCTTATCCCAAGAAAATCCCACACGTGAATGCCAGCACCCCATTACTGTTTTATTAATGCACACTTTATCAATACATCTTCATAACTATTTCAACTTTATACACTGAAGTCAAGGCATTTGGCTAAAATTAAAAAAAAAAAAAAGAAGGAAAAAAAAAAAGAAAGGGCAAAAGAAAAAAAAGGGAAAAAATGTTTCTTTTAAAAAGTTGTGGTCATTTAAATAACATCCTGTACATTAGGTAGATAATGGATGCGCACAGGCATCCAACCAGACACTTCCAGGGAACGTGGCCGATCGTGTGACTTTACAACCAGCGCTTACCCCTTCATACGCACTGATCCTCCTGCAGCACTCAGTAAGTGAGGTTTAAACCTTTTCTTCCATTAAACCTCTGCGAAGGCTGCTCACCACACAGCTTCATTTAAAACAGTGCCGTTATATAACATTTCTCACAGCTCACCCTTCAGTTACACTGCAAACCTCCCTTCATCTGGCTATGACTGCCTACTTGTGCCACAGCGAGTTTCCTTGTATTGTGTCACAGTTCAACAACGGTACCAATTTGGCAAATGAAACAAAACAGCAAATAAAGATTAAAAAAAAAAAAAATCCACATCAGTTTTGGATGGTAGAAGGTTAGGAATTGCTGATAAATGAGAGACAGTCATGTGGTTCCAGTAAAAAGCAGGTAAACTATGAAGCAACATAATCTGAGGAGCAAGTCCAGTTGTAAAGTTTGGCTTTGTAATACTTACTATAAAGGATGACGTGTGGTAAAAGAGGTTAAACAAAACAACCATAAGACAGTTTGCAGAATCAAACCATTAAATTAGAGCCATTTTGATTAAATGCTTATGAATAGCTGGTCAATGTAGAATACAGAGCAGCTTTCTGCTCTTAAAGTGGGGATTCAAAGATCATTTATTTGTTTTATTTGAGAGTTCAACATCTTCATTTTCCATTGAAGAGTCAAATTAAGACTGAAAAGTTTGTGGCTTGGGACAAAACGACAGGTCCGTATTCGAGTGGATCCCAAAAGCCTCCATGAAATCGTGATAGAAGAGTCTCGAAATACATCCTCTTAGTCTAGCTTTAATTATATTCTCCCTCATTCGATACCGTTTCCCCGCTCCTCATTCCTTTAAGCAAAGAAGACGACAAAGATGATGAAGAAGACCACGAGGACCAGAAAGATCTTGATCATCAGCCAGCGGTTGGAGGAGACCGACTGGAAGTATTTAAGGATCTCTGTGTGGGCAGCCTCCACGTTCAGCTGGGTGTCCTCCACGTTAGCATCGATCCTGTGAGAAGGAAACGGAGCAGCGAGAAGAGTTTTTATCTCTAATCAGTCTTGTTTTATTTCAAAGACTAAGATATTACACCAATACTTACACCATTAATGCAAAAAAAAAAAAAAAAAAATCAATTGTTTATTTTAAATAGAAAATTGCTAAGATTTGTTATTGCTTTGATATATATGGGCTTTGTCTTTTAAATTTTAACACCCTCTAGCGGTTAAAATTGGTGTAGGTTGATTGCCTTCCAGGGCTATTAATGAATCCTGACTGATGCGTATTTGTCAGACCCTGATGAAGACTTGTAGTCAATACGTGCGGATCTGTTTTACTTGCTGAATTGTTCCAAGAATACATTTGTTATATAATTTTATCCCAACACGGGACCCAAAAAAAAAAAAAAAAAAAAAAAAAAAAAGCGCTTTTATGTTTCAGGCTTTTTTTCCAGCAAGACTGTTTTTCCAGTCCTTTCTTTCAGTTGTGTAACACGTTCTTTTATCCTACAGAACCTCATCTGTCTCAATCTCTTCCTCACCTCTGGATGGTCTCCTCTTGCTCCTTGACCATGTGCGCTAGCTGCTGAAATATGGAACCCAGTTCCACGATGGTGCTCTCGATGTTTTGCATGGTATCTGCACGGCTCTGGATGTACGAGTCCTGTTGCCACAACACAGCATTTTAGTGTAATATTTAGCTAATCTTGGATAAAAGTCAGTCAAGTTTGACAACAGACTCAATTTTTTGAGCCACCTGTCTGACTTCAGCAAACAAACACCAACACCCTACCTGCTCATCAATAAGCTGAAGCTGCAAAGGATTACTTGGAGAGTCCATATCGATAGCAACATCCCCCCGGCTCCGGGACTCTTCCTGCATCAGGACCGAGCCATCTGCAGAGACACAAAACACACACGTGATCACAGAAATCCTCTATGGTACGGGCGGAAAGCAGAAAGAACAGCGGGCACATACAGTAGCTAGTTATACCCGCTTGGAGAGTCGAGACGTTCCCGGGAAATACCTTTGTAATTTGCGGTTGTATAGCCCTGGTAGTCATTGCGCGGCTCACGAGCTGCATGCGGCTCCTGGGCCCCTTTTTTGCGGCTCCCTAAAATATTTTGTAATTCTTGCATTACAGATGACCAAATACAGTAATAATCATTCACAAGGACTGCCAGCAGTTCCCTATCACAACAGCTGCTGTTTTGAAAAGTACACTGGTATTTAAAACTTATCCACAACCAGTGCCGTTTTTGAAAATGAAGGAAAAAACACAACACCTAACCATCAAACAACATGCTCAGTGCAAGTACGCCAAAAACAGAAATAAGGGAATGTGTGCACAAGCACAGAAAAACTATATATTCTGTTAATATGCGATTTATTATGCTTATGGTTTTCTACCGTAGGGTTTATACCCATGTACCTTTTAGCAGGTAATAACACAAACAAGTAGAGAAATGTAAATATTTATACCATCATCCATCAAGATAAATAAATGCTGAGTGCATCATTTCAGAGATTAGAATCGAGCCAATTATATATTTTAATAATGAAACCAGTCTTAATATCCATCTTTTTTTCTTTGTAAAATCTCTAGGCATTCACAATGAGCATTTTGCTTGATATTTGGCCAAAAATGCTAAAATAAAGTGAATTTATGAACATTTTACCAACTGTGTAAATGCACGTACAGGAAGCACTGGAGCTCGGTGCGTTCATTAAAGGGTCTCTGTTAAGAAGCCTGCTCGGCAAAACGTTTAATCATTCATTTTAGCAGAATGATGAACTGAGCAGGAGCCAGACGTCGAGTATTTTCCTCCACGACACAACAAAGAAATACTCACGGTGTGTTCACTCTAATACACACTTTGTATGCTTTGAGTAATGATTATTCTCATTACTAGTGGGAAGTTCACACTTTCAGAGAATACAGGTGATATAAATGTGACATTACAGCAGGCAGTGTGAAGCCAGCCATGTTCACGGTCCTCTTTTACCCTTGTCTGTATTACTAGTGCTGCACGTCAGTTTATACATGTGCAACATTAAAGGTCCACAAAATGATTAAGACAGAACTTTTCACACAAACAATATTCAGGATAGAGTGAACACGCCTTAATTAAACTACAAAACATGCTTTGTTAACCTGCTGTAGCCATTTACTTTCATATGAGACCCTTGTTAAAAATCTGAATGAGCAACTTGAAGCGTGAAGCTGAGATGTGGAGAGACTTACTGAAGTTGTTGGCCATGAGAGGAGAAGACGACGCCGGAGGCTGGGAGAACTGCTCTCTCCTGCTGCGCTGCTGCTTCAGGTTCTGAAGAACAAGAGTCAAAGAGAGAAGAAACCTTCACCTTATCCAGAACTTTAGGTATTAGCATTGTTTGCTTTTGTGTGCTGACGCAGCTCTCACCTCTGTTCTGACTTCTAGGACTGATTTGAAGTCATTGGACATCGATGCCAGCTTGGACTACAGACAAAGAATGGCAGAGTTAAAGGAGGTGCCGATTCACTTTTGTTACCATTTAAAAAAAGAAAAGAAAAAGGAAAAACAAAACCCAAAACTACAGAAAATTCGCATTCTCTCAGTCAATAACTACATCTTTTCTTGATTTTAAAATTGTACACAAAGTTTTACAGAAAGGTTCAAAGTTGTTTCCTTTTAGATCAACTTCAAATTCAGAATCAGAATCACAATTTTTGTCAATTTTTTAAACAAATGATTAATTTATCTTGGGGTCTTGATGCAAAAAAACAAAAACAAAAAAACCCCCAAAACAAAACGTTGGTATAGAAATAAAAAACAGAATATATGCTATATACAGTGTATATAATATATACATATATTTAGGAATATATACCAACTACCTACAGATATGAGAGATGAGATACTGAGGAATTAAGTCATATCTAAAGGTTATGACCAGGAAGGGGACAGGGTGCAAAATATAGATGGAGCTCTCATCTGCAGTCATCTTGCACTCATTCTGATCCAAATAAGCAAAAACAAAACGCAAACAACAAAAAACAAAACAAAACAAAAAAAACCCAGCAGGATTTGCACAAATACAGTACAAAAATATACCTGTAATGACACCACTATAGTGTTTGAGTGGGTCTGAATGTGTCGGCCACCTGGAGCTCCACGGGACCTCACCAAGTCCTGCAGCTGTGCTATCTGTTTGTTTAGACTGTTAATGTCCTAAAAGACAAATAAAAGAAGGGAAAGTTATAATATCAAGTTTCATTAGGTATAAAAAAGGACTGACATGCTTTACTGAAGAGTGACAGCTCAACTCACCTGCTTAATGATGTATGTCAGCTCCTCGATTTCTATCGCCTTGTCATCAAACAGAGATTTTCTTTTTGCCACTAAAACATGAAAATAACATCATCTAGGTCAGCACTTTGGATGATATCACACTCAGAAATTTGAAATGAAGCTGAAATTACATTAAAATTAACACTTACAAATTGTGAGCTTTTCCAGTTTGGCAAATGTATTGCTCAAGTCTTTCCCAATTCTCCTACAAGGAGACAAAAACAGAGGTTAAACTTTCTCTACTAGTCACAGAACCAATAATTATATTTGCTTCAAATCTCTTTAGTACAACTCTTTAACTAAAGGTAAGAGAAACGGGTATTAAACCATTTATATGCTAAATTCATTATATGAATATTATAGCTAATTCAACAGTGAATATGAAAATAAAGGAACAGCAAATAAACATAAAATGAGGAAACATGCGTAAACAGACTTTGGGGAACTTACTTGGCCATAACTGTAAAGTCACTGCGCTGCCTGAGGGCACTGAGCGCTGGTTTACTGGGCTGGACTCCATTCTGCTACAGGAGGTACAAAGAAGCAGATGAGATGGTCAGAAACATTAAAAAATAAATAAATAAATAAATAAATAAATAAAAATAAAAAAAAGGGGGGGGGGGGGTAAGACATATAAATTATGATAAGCAAGACTTTGAGAATTGATTTTAAATGAATCAAGAAGTCAAAGAATTTGGATTTTTTTTTATCATGATAAAATAATAATCCAGTCTGTTCTGACTTTTTTTGTTTTTAAAATAAAAACTTAAACATGCCTAAAAGTAAAATGTCTAATGGCATAATATTTGGAGTGTTAATATAATAAAAAAGAGAATGTGGTCACTTTAAAATATAAGATACACAAGATAATTTGAATTTGGCATTTTTTTTTTTTAAATCATCAACCTTCCTCCAAAGAAAAATAATCAGGACTGTGACAGAAATATTTCTAACTAGTAACCAGCACAAGTTAAATGTGAAAACACACTTAAAATGTGTTTTTGGGATAGATGTTTCTATATTAAGCAGCCAAAGTTTGAGAAGTCACACCTAAAAGGCCCATTTTGAGAGAGGAAAAACTACTGAGAGGTAGAGAAAAAAGCTCTACCTCTCAGTAAACAAAAATCACTTCCAAATGTGTTTTTGCATCATCTCACATAAACACTGACATAATTATGTTTGCATTACCAGACACACTGACTGATAGTTATTTACCTTCTTTTTTTTTTTTTTTTTTAAGAAAGTAAAAAACATTTTGACACTGTTATTTGGGGGATTTACCGAGAGGAGTAAACAAGGAACAAAAAGCAAAACTAAAAGCCAAGCCCAAAATTATACAGTGCTACCAAAACCGATCTGCATCACTGCATTTTAGCTGTATGTGTTAAAAAGATTCTGGTAACTCTTATCAAATCGTGCACAACTTCAAGTAAACCTATCATGGAATATAATAAAAACTAAGCAAAAACGAGCAAAACCACTATGTAAATAGATTGAACTGAAACAAAAAAAAACCCCAATAACTACAAAAAAATAAATAAATTAGAATAAATCTGAGTGTAGGGACGTGGCTGGTTTTTTTTTTTTTTAAGACACAACATACCTGTCTGCCCTGGAGAGATTTACACGCTGACTGGAACTCGAGTGTCCGGTCACGGCACGTCATGCTGCCGCTGATAGTGAGTCACCTGCCCGCTATAGATCAAACACCACCCGGGCAGCCGGTTCTTCCTCCTGGGGTCTGTCTGATTGATAAATACTAAGACCTCGCGGTGTACGGACAAATTCACATCGAAAGGTGGTTATCATTCATGTCTGCAATTTAAAAAAAAGAGTCACTTGTTAGCTTTCCGGGCCGACAGCTTCAAATTCAACAGATAAAACACAAATTCAGGAGATTCGGTAGCCAAAAGCTAGTCACAAAGACCGAGACAGCGTGGAAATAAGGCCAAATAACTGTGCTAAAGCTCATATAAATAAACAGGCAAGCTAAATATATATATCATTAGGTAACGATGATTATTTGGAGCCTGGACTGGGTCTGTTTGTGTGAAGGCCGCCCATCACGACACACAGCTGATCATGGCCTGACCGGCTAACCGCGGGCTAACGTTAGCTCCAGAGAGCTAACGGGAGTTTTCGAACGGTCCCTCCAATCTCACCTCGGTGAAAGCCAACTAAAATTGACGGTGCGAGTTTTAAATTTATTTAATAAACAAAGCTAGATGGGGTTCAACTCACCTGAATCAGTATCGCAACATATTATCAGACCCGTCGGTGTTTCTGGTGAAGACTAGTATACCCAGGAGTTAAAGTTCCGATCCGGGTCATTTCCGGTACTGACGTCATTGCCACGTCTACTTTACCGAGCATGGAAAAATGTCTGCAGTACCGAGTTACTACCACCAGGGGTCGACAAATCTACTGATGTGAGCGGCACAAAGGAATCGACGCTTCAGTTCAGAAAGAAATGCGGACATTTAGTTGAAAACGAAGTCAGCAAATGACAAACAAAGCTATTATTTAGAATTCAAATTAAAACTAAACTAAAGGTAAAGTAAAATAATATTAAAACTAGACTAAAGCAACTAAAGTAACATTATCCACTTACAAAATCAACTCAAATAAAAAAAAGTGAATATAAATAAAAAGGACACTTTAAAAAAAAAACTTGGTCACACCAGGTATTGATATGTTTAGAATATAATCTCTACATGTCTGAATCTTCCGTTTTCAATACATTTTGTGTTTGTATTGTTATACCTTTTCCCCAAACAATTTTGTTCCACTGAAATACTTATATTAAAATGATTTATACAACTAAAAAAATAATCCAGAATAGAAATAAAACAACTGATTTAGATAGAAACAATATAACCCAGTACTAGTACGGAGTAATTAATGACGTGGTGTGTGAGTGTACATCAAGAAGCCGCAGTTTCCTGTTTTTAGCTGACAGGAGTGGCACCAGGCGTGGTCTTCCGCTGCTGTATCCCAGCTGCTGAGGAGTTCAACATATTGTGCGTTCAGAGATGTTTTCCTGCATACCTGGTTGTAACAAGTAATTATTTGAATTACCATTGCCTTCTTATCAGCTCCAAATAGTTTGGCTATTCTTAGATTTTTTTTCTTTTTGAAGCATTCTCTGAAAACCCTGGATAGCAGTTTCTGGAATATTCAGACCAGTATGTCTGACAGCAATTACCATGCCAAGTTCAAAGTCACTTAAGTCATCTTTCTTCCCCACTGTGATGCTCAGTTTGAACTTCAGCAGCTCTCCTTGACTATGTCTGCATAAAAGCAGCTGCTGCCATGTCATTTTCTGATTAGATACTTTTGATAACAAGCGGTTAAACAGGTGTACCCAATGCATTGGCCAGAGAGTTTACATTCAAAATAAAAACCCTCCAATGTCAGTCCTGTATCCCTTTAGCCACCACCTTTTTTTTTTAAATTTGCAAAAGAAAGTTGTTGTAAAACTGTAAATGGAGATTTACCTGATTGTGGCACTCAAAGTAAAAAAAGAAAAGAAAAAAAAGAGGGTGGGCGAATTGTTAATCAAAAACACTACATGAGGAATCTTGTTTTAAGTATTCCTACTATCAATAACACTTATACTGATCCCTCAGAAACTGAAATATTACAACTACAATGGTAATACCTTACTGCAGCAAATGTAATGTCACCATTCATCATTTTGTTTTTCTTCTTCGTGTTTAACGGTGGTTGGCAACCAACGTAAAGGAGCATTACCACCTCCTACTGTTCCGGAGTATGGGTCAGACAGTGAGCTTACAATCTGTATCCAAAAAACCCCCCAATACAAATAAAAAAAAAACAACCAAAAACCCTACACTCTTTCATAAACACCTATATCCTTCAGAAACCCTACCAGTTCCCTCACCTGTGCCCTACTACCCTCCAACACACTCTTCAGATTAAATTCCCAATTCCCCCCTCCTTCAATCTATTCTGCAGAACTTTCCTCTCCACATCATAACCCTTGCACCGCAGTATTACATGCTCTACCGTCTCCTCCTCCTGGCACACTCCACAAAGCCCCGTCTCATGTTCTCCTATCATCTGTAGTGTTTTATTTAATGCACAATGTCCCAGTCTAAGCCTGGTAATGACCACCTCTTCTCTCCCATTACCCCTATACAACCGACACCCTGCCACCTCCTTAAGATGATACAATTGCCTGCCCATACTCCCTGAATCTGGTCAATATGCTCCCTCCATGTCAGTCTTGAGTCAAACACAACACCTAAGTACTTAAAAGAGCTCACATTCCCCAATTACCTCGTCATACAGTTTCAATGTCAAAGTCTCACTCACTTTTCGTTTGGTAAAGAACATAATTTTAATTAGCTCACGCGTGTGTTTCTTTTTGTCTGATATTATTTCTGTTTGTTACTGGAGTTCCCTGCCTGTTCCTTGTGGGGTCTTTGGTAGTTTTACTTATTGGCTCATATCAGTCAGAATAAATATTTCCCTTTTGTTCCTGTTTCTTTCAGTGATTGCTTTTGGGTCCAGAAAGCACTATATATTTTAATATGGTTTTCTGAAACAGGTCTCTCTTGCAAATGAGACATTGAGCCCCAGTGGGACTACCTGTATAAACAAAGGTTAAATAAAAAAAAACTCCACATCATATAAATGATGGTAGTTTTATTCTTGGACTAGAATACCTTTACATGAGTCAGCGTTCCAAGTAATCCTTATTTATCTTCTACTGGGCCTTTGTGCAGCTCCCCAGTTCCTCTTCTTTCTGAAACGAGCTGTTTTAGCTCCTCCCACTTTAAGCCAACTTTCTTTTATAGTTAAGCTGTGCTGCCATGTTCTTTTCAAAGAAAAGAGCCTTTCTGTTGGCAAGCCTTCCAAACAAGCCACATTTATTCAGCCTTTTTCTAATTGTGCTGTCATGAACTTTAACACTAAACTTGCTAACTGGGGCCAGTAGAATCTCAGATGTAGCTCTTGGCTTTTTTGCAGTTTCTGAGTATTGCACAGTCTGACCTTGGGGCTTGTTCACTGGGATGTCGACTCCTGAGAAGACTTGCAGCCGTTTTGATTTTTTTTTCCACTTGTGGATGAAAAATTTTTCTTGCTGGAGAATTTTGGACTTCAAATTGTTTGGAAATGGCCTTATTACTGGCACCAAATGCTTCTTTAAGCCACTTGCTGATGCCTGCCCTTATTGTGTTGTGCTAACAAACACCTGAATGCTCCAGAACTGATGATACCTTAACCAAGGTCATATGATTAGCAGCACACCCTTGATTTATTTTTTCATGCATTGATTCTGCATAACGACACAGTGTAATATGTTACTTCTGTTGTTCATTTGAGGTTGTGTTTACCTAAATTTTAGACGTGTTAACTACCAGATGTTTTTTTAAGAGGTCCTGAGACAAATTCACACAATTATAGAGACACAATGATTTTCTTTAACTTGAGAGTCAAAGAAGACATGGCGCGGTTACGCTTAAATGCTGAAGGAAAAATTAAATCCTGAAGTTTCTGCGAGTGGAGATTGACAGAGCAGACAGAGAGACACGGAAGATGATTGGCTGCTGCCTCAGGTGATTCGACCGGCCTGCAGGTATGGTATGGAAAGAACGAGATAACATCCAGCAGGCTCTCTGATCTCCTCTCATGCCTACTGGTACCCGCATCCTCCGCCTGACGGGATCAAGCATGCCCAGACCACAACTATGTTCTCTCCCATTTACCTGTTAGACCCCCAACCGCAAACCCCAACCTGCGACCCTCCAGCTACTACAGCAAGACCTCGTTCACCTTTTATACGTCGGTTTTAATCACCAAATGGATTGCTTCCTCCCACTTGGAAATATGACTGTATTATGTGTTTTAATCTCCTTTGATGGAGGGAGCGGCCCCTTATCAGGACAGAACAGTTTCTCCTGAAAAAACACTCCCTTCTCTTTGTGATTTCTTTTTCTTTTTTGTATGTATTGCATTCACTGCTAAGCTACATTTAATTGTATCATACATTTTGTTATATTGTTTGTATTTTTAAAAACCTTTATACTTTTTGATGGTCCTGAATGAACATGCAAGCAGTCTTTCAATTTCTGTGGTGAAATCCTGGCATTCCCCTTAAGTTTATTTGCAATAACTCATTAATCTATATTTATTTGTCCAGTACTTAAGCTAAAAACATTCCCAACAGCTTTTGCTACACATAGTTTTTAGTGATAACTGGGACATGTTAGCATGATAACACATTACTTTGGTCACAGGGACACCAAAGTATATTTTCAAAGTCAAGAGGACTTAAACTTCCTCATAACACAACCATCCTTCTGCTATATTCCCAGCCTAGCTGCATGCAAACTGTTTCCCATGTAGTTACAAGAGCCGTAAATCTTTTATCAAGCATGATGTCCTTCACTGGAGTGAGAAAGACAAGGTCTGTGGATCCATGTTTCTGTTGAAGATAACAGAGTTTGTTTATTCTGTAAAATGAAAAAAGTTATTTGTGTTCACAAGAGACTTTAAAAAAATCACTCACTTTCCTGTCAGATCATCAGAGCGACAGAAGCACACAGGAATCTTCTTTACCCTGCACATACTGAGCTAAATCTCACTCTTTTTTTTTTGATCTATGTTTCTCTCACATACACAGGAGAACTGATACCATCTAACAACACACACAATACTCACAGGCCAGATAGCGTCCAGTACCTGCTTGAACACAGCTGCTGCTACAAAAGCAGGGAGGAAACCATGGCTGGTGTTATTAGAAAAACAATGACGCCAAATGCAGAGAAAAGCAAGGTGGAAAAATACAGGAAGGCCTGATACAGGAGAAAAGACTGGCAGGGACAAAGTGACGGCTGCAGAGTGATGGAGCGAGAGACACGTAGCTACTGGCTGAAAACACACAAGAAGTCAAGTTAATATATAAATTGTACATGCACTCACCGCACATTTCATAACGTTTTTGCAGGTTTTGATGAGCAAGTGGCTTTTTAAAAAACGCTTTTGAGGATTTTGTGCATCGAAATTCATGACTCACTCTATCCTTTTTCTCTTTCCCTCTCCGTCTCACTAATCTTGCTGCTATATTTAGTCTTGGCATTATGCCCTTCGACAGATAGGTTGGCAGCAGTACGTAGATCATCTCTTCTCCAGTCTTTCCTCTTCTTTCCTTCCCTCTTCCTCAAAGCAGATCCTGTGAGATCCATCTGCAGTTCACAAAGCGATGTGAAAGTTTAACACACGCACTGCATCAATCAACAAAACTAAGTCTCTTAGACGTGACTATAAATGTACAGAATGAGATACGGACGAGCTATATTAACATTATCCCCAGCCTCAGGTCTGAAGTCTGCTCTGTATGATGAAATATTCTAATGAGGCACTGAACATAACATTCCCAGCACATTTCATCATCTTTATCACAAATGCCAGGGGGCGAAAGGCACAGTAACCACCAGCAGGGCTGCAGACAGGTATGTGCACAGAATGCACACACAAAATCTCCCCCCAGAGCTTCTTACACACTTGCAAGCACAAACTCCTGGAGTATCTTTGCTGGGGCCACAACTAAACAGACTCACTGACAAATCAGTAAAACATCATAAAATAAAACTGCTCAAGTAGGTGCAAGTACCTCCTGTGTAATTTTCCACTCAGACAGTGTGGGACTGTGCACACCTTTGTACTTCCCCAGCTTCTGACTCAGCAGCACAGATGAGAGGAGGTGAGAGAACAATATTATGTCTCACAACACCGCGTCACATCACATACGCAGTTTTGTCTTTGCAACCAACTCCCTGGGTGGCACTGTAATGAAAAATGCCTGTTTATCTTTCATTACCGTCAACCGAGGGATTAAAACAAAAGAAAAACATGGGGCGGTTGGAGGAGAGGAGAGGCAGCGGGGGATGAGGTCAAAGCGCTGGGACATCGGTTAGACAAGGAAAGCGGAGGTTTTTATGAAAAATAAGACATTTCCTTTAATCACATCTGTAACATCACGGCTGTATCCTGGTATCACGTTGAATATATTTGATGATGTAGTATACACTTTAATGTGGACATTAAAATCGATTAATTGGCATTTATATGCTAATACATGAAACATAAAACTGCATTGTTTTCTACAAAGACATATTAAAAGGGCACAAATGGTGTAGCAGCAAAAAAAAGAGTGTAGTTTCATTTTCTATACGTAGGCTACAGTATTACAATGTATTTGCAGAGAAGAGATTCGTTGCAAGGTACAGCAATACAAATGAAGTAACAAATACATTTCTAGAGTATGCACTACGTCATACACATAGTTATGGCAGGATATTAGAGATTATAAAAGTTATATAGTTAGTAGGGGGTATCTATAGGCCACTAAGACACCGGAGGCTAGAACAGGGCTAACAGTACGATGTAGACTGTGCAGATACAAAGCACACTGATGTTTAATGCTCACACAGGACATCTGAACACGATATTAATATTTCCAGGTGTTACAGGTTAAAGAGTTGTAATGCTGAAATAACAGCAGCAAGTACATGCGGGAGTTGTTGTTGCTTTTATTGTTCAGAATTAATATTTTGACAAAGGAAAATTTGGTCACAAGAAATAACATTTGGAGCCCGAGTGGCACCCAAAAAGATATCTCAGCACCACAACTCCCGTGGGTGGAATGATGTTAAATAGTCACACATGTCTGCATGATTGGAGTCCATTTGCTCATTGTTTTCACCACTGGACTAATCTACAGTATATGTAATCTGTACTGAGGTTCCTGGACTCTTAGGTTTCCCAAAACATTTGTCTCCTCAGTCACCAGGCACATTTTGTTCCCTATTATTAATAAATGAAGACCGGAGAAGAAGTATCAGTGCTTGCAAATAAAAAATGGATGGACAGAAATAGCCACGGATGAGTTTAGAAGAATACATTGAAACACTGCTTCCGAACCTTTACTGTATCTCCTGTATTAAGCACTTCTGTAATAAACTGGATATGGACTACGTCTGAAGAATTACATTCACCTCATGATTTATCTTTTGTGGTTACTTGCTAGTATATGCAGTATTAGTTTATTTCAACCACTACTTTTAGCTACTAGCAACATTCACTGGCACTCATCTCACTAGTACTGAATTTGACTCCCTTTTGTCTTCAGAATTGTCTTCATAGCACAGAATCAAAAAATATGCTGGAAACATTTCTCAGAGATTTTGCTCCATATTGACATGATAGAATTGGATGCCCATCCCAAAGGTGCTCTACTGGATTGAGATCTGATAACCGGAAGCCATCTGAGTCCAGTGAACTCATTGCCTGCTTCAGGACACCAGGTTGAGGCGATCTGAACTTTGTTAAATGGCATGTTTTCCTGCTGGAAGCAGGTATTAGTAGATGGGTACACTGTGGTCACAAAGGGATGGACATGGTCAGCAATAATACTCGGGCAGGCTGAATAATAAGGCTTAAATAATACTCAGTTGGGACTAATGGACCCAGAGTTTGCCAAGAAAATAATGCCCACACAATTAAATCACTACCATCAGCCTGAGTCATGATACAAGGTAGGATCTATGGTTTCATGTTGTTTACACCAAATTCTGACCCTCCCATTAGAACCTGGCAGGAGAAATCAAGACTCATCAGTCCAGGCAACATTTTTCCAGTCTTCAATTGCTTGATTTCACTACACCTGTTCAAAATAAAGCCTTAGCTTCCTGTTTTAGTTGACAGAAATGGCATCCTGTGGTCTTCTGCTACCGAGATGCTCTTCTGCATACCCTTGGTCATAATTAGTGGTTAATTAAGTTGCCGTTACCTTCTGCTAGAACCGGTTTGGTCATTCTCCTCTGACACTGTCATCAACAAGGCATTTTCACACAGAGAACTGCAGCTCACTGGATATTTTCTTTTATTCACACCATTATTAAAAAGAAGAATGATTTCCAGTGTTAACTTCAAATGCATGCCTAAAAGCTTCGACCTGCTGCCATGTGATTGGCTGATTAGATATTTGTGTTATGTTAATCTATACCAGTAGCTCACGTTTTAATGGGTAACCATATTTTTATTTAGCTAATGTCCAATTTAATATTTCACATTTCTCCACACTATCACCTTACAATTTTACGTCACTTTTTCCAATCATGTTTTCATGTTTTAACAAGTAACTTATCTCTTTTAATATGTTATGAATTCTCTTTCTACTGCTCATCCATTACTTTTAGGTTAACTGGTAACTTCAGTCATGGTTCACTCGTGGTTTTATTAAATCAAATTAAAATTACTGTTACATTTGCTCATTTATTTCCAGATTACTTAAGTTTATCAATCCACATACCCCAAGCCCCTGTGGAAGTGTCTTGTTGGGAATGACCTTTTTAAAAAAATAAAAATAAAAAATTGTACTTTTTTTGTTTACATGGAGATAATAAGATATTTCACCATCTCCATCCAATAGCAAAAACAAAGTAGTTTTGATTAAAGATTAAAAAGTGACATAAACAGATGGTTTGAACAGGTCCAGAAGTAAAAAATAATCTAGTAGTGCGGACCCTTTCAAGCATGTTGTGTAGTAAAACTGTACAAAGACCATAGTGAGGTCGATTTACCTCTGGACACAGGCTATTCCCCTCTGTATTTATTTTGATTGCACAGAGAGCAGGAACAATCGTCTCATCCAACTCGTGTATTTCCCAAAATGTCAAAATATTCCTATAATTTCAGTAGCAGTTTGAGGTAACAAAAGCTTTGGGAAACCATGTCCTGTTTGCACATCATCACACAGTGTCTGGTCTGCACTCAAAGGACCAGTCCAACTCTCCTTTCATAAAAACTCCTATAGGTCCCTCTAAACCAGTGATGACCACTGCAGATCTGCTGCAGCTCCAAGTCTCAGCTGAGACAATGTTTATTGCTAAAACTATCATCATCTTAAGACGAGGTCTGAAATATCACAGAGAAAGTAACAATAATGCTCTAATACTTGGTCATTAATATGTTATGATATAGAGGTAGTGATTTAAGCATTGATTGACAGTAATAAACACTGAACAATGAACTCGAGCGCAAAAAAAAAGTAATCTCATCCAAGGAGAGTATAAATACAAAGCTTATCACAGCAGCCACTGATGCAAGTTGCTTCAAGGCTGACACATAAATAATTCACACTCTGGACTGCACGCTGTTTCAGGGTGACTATTCCTCAACTGGCAGGGTTGTATGAATCATGGGACAGAGTAAAGACATGAATCGAGGAGTTTCAAAGCTACCGTTTCCCATGGCGCTGAGAGCTCACTAGCTCTCAGTAGAATTTAACACAGCACACAGGCTGTGAATGGGTGTCAAACAGGGTTTTAAACTCAATGACCTGCCACTTTAGGCCATCAGAGCTCAGGGCTTTAGCTCTTCACAATGACTGACAAGCTGCTCAAGACCTCGTCCTTTCTGAAGCAGGCATGGTTCAAATCCCTGTTCCCACCCAGCAGCAATGAACCAACATGGAGTTAGACCGAGAGATTCAGTCAGAATATAAACAAGTTATGTTCCAGCTGAATAACACTCTTTCCATCCTGGCTCTAACACGCAACAACAACAGCCGTGTTTTTCTTTCACTGCACTGGGGACGGATATTTGCTTGGTTTCTCTGTGTTGCCGACAACATTGCCCCACTGACTGTTTGAATTACACATTATGATGTATCGTCTCTGCACCCATCTCTTCTGTGTGAGTTTTGTGTGTGTGAGACTCACACATTTGTGGCCCGTGTGAGTTGTCTCTGTTTCAATTCAATACATTTGGGTATTAGCTGGCCACCCAGTGTGACAGACGCAGATTAAAGATGAACACTGAAAAAAACCCAACAAAAAAACAAAAAACAAAGAAAACTTCTGCAATATAGAATATCTTTCAAATCAACTCAACAGAATTATAATAACATATAAAACAGAGGCAAGTAATACAATACTCAGTGAAGATTTTGCAGTAAATTGCAAATAAACAACTCACATATATTTGCACACTTGGTGTTGCACAAACAAAAGCTTATGACTACCTGCATTCAATTCACATTGCATGTGTGTGCTGAAGCTGTGTCTGTATGTGAGTGTGTGTGTGTCATCTGTGTTCCTGGTATTATAAGTGTGAATCTGTGTGTGTGTGCGAAGCAGTGGACAGCCGCCAGGCCTCATTATTGTCATTCTCCTCACTGCCTCAAAGAGAGGCAAAGCGAGGCAATGCGGCTCCTTTCAATCGAGGAACCGAGGAAAGACGGAGACAAAAGGCCGAAATTAAACAAATGCTGGAAAGCGGCTTGGAGAGCCAGCTTTGAATAAAAGGGAGAGCGGCTGCACGGTTAACCCATCTGGGTCTTTCACTGGGGAGACCACACAGATATACTTCATCCGGGCATTCAGCTAAACTATAGGTCCACGCACACTGGGGTGCCAGTTCATGTGCATGTCCTATGTCACTCTTGTATGTCTGTTGTATGTGAGTATGTGTCCATCAGTAATCTGTTGCTGTTGTTTCCTTAATCCTCTGCAAAATACTGGCCTCGACTTAACCCTGGAATCCGTCATGTGCAGCTTCCTTGCGAGGACACCTGTGTAAGACTCCTCTGCATCCGCGTTGTTCTCATGGAGTATAATAGCTCTCGTTTCCACTATTCTCTTGTGTTTACAAGTTTAATCGCAGGTGAAAGGAACTTCCCGGAGTCCAGCCTCCGAAATAACAGCGCAGCGCGTTCCCCTGCAGGCTTGTGTACACCGAGAAAGATTTTCTCTGTCTATTCCCATGCCTCTCAAAGTTGCCACTTTCATCCTCCACTGATTGGATGTGTTTTGCGACGCTACGTGTCAGCACACGCCATGTACATGCAGACTGATAGAATCTTTCCCACAGAAGAACGGAGGCGGAAAGATGTTTGCACACAGCAGATGTATGCAGTGATGATGAACTTGTTGCTTTACTGGAGCTCTGCTACAGGTTCTTCTGTGTGCTTCCCCTCAGTTTGAGACGCCGCCTTTCCAAGTGTCTGTATGGTCTATGGCACTGATGCTGAGGGTGGGCGATGAAACGACAGGGATTTGGTAGAGAGATGGAGGCGAAAAAAGAATGTGGGCGGACACATCAAGTCCTCATGGCTTCACACCTAGAGCAGTAAACAATTAAAAGAGGAAGGTTTCAGCGCAAAAACTTCCGTGACAGGATTCAGTCTGACATTTGAGTGTGGTTATAAAGGCAGCATGTACATTTTTTTAATATTTTGTTTGTTTAAAACAACTTCTCTGTCAAATCTTTTGTGTATTATCCACATATTGTGTCTAAATTGCAATCATGCATGATAAGGAAAACTTTTCTTGTTAGGTTTTTTTGTAAAAAAAAAAGAAAAAAGAAAAAAAAAGGGGACCGACTTGCAGCGACGAGGGTTGAGCTTTCGGCCTTTTTGGCTGCAGGTTTCAGCTGTGACGGTGCAGCGGCACTGGCATGTCGTCGAATCCAAGGCCCACTTCCTCCTTCGGCATGGGCGACAACGGGTCGTAGGAGAGGGGGAAGGAGAAGGAGAGGGGGATGGGAAGGAAATGGTGGAGGGAGAGATATTGGTGGGAGGCAGTGATGGTGGTGAAGGAAAAGATGTGGCAAAAGGAGCTGGAGGAGCATGGGTTCTGCATGGAAGAGGGATTTAGGAAAAGCATGGTTAGATCCTGAATTGATTAATTCACTGTTTAAGGAAAGCCAGCTAACACATGGCAGACTAAAATGTCTTCCATGTTTGCTCATTACCACTAAACACCAAGGGAATTATTTCAGTTTTGTTCAGTTTTCACCATTAAAAGCTTGGACTGATTAAAAATGTTTTTAATGGCAGCTTTGGATGATACATTAGAGACATTAGAGGCATTTAGTCATGTTTAAAAATCATGAGAAGTCCCCCTCGTTGTGCAAACATCAAGCGATCATCAAACAACATCCTCTGAAGGCCATAAATGTCTGCACAAAATTTCACGACAGAGATATTTCAGTCCAGACCAAAGCTGTCCAGACTGAAATATCTCAGGCTTGTTTGAACATGCACATTGCCAGTCTGAAACTAACCCACACAATGCAGTGTGTGGGAGGTGTGTGACTAATGTGGGATAACGTTTGTAAGCTGCCAACAAACTTTCTCCCCTTTCTGTTCATCTGCCCGTTACCATGGCTTTGTTCATATAGGAGGCCTTCAGTTAACTCCTCTAGATGCCCTGAACTTTCCCTCTCTGAAATCTCATTTTGAGAAAGTTGCCTGAATCACTTGGTCCATTAACAGCCGCTGCTTCTGCCTCTGTTTTCCCGGGAGGCTGGCGGCCTTAATGAAGTTACTTAATGAGGCAGAGAGGGCTCATCTTTGTTCCCGTCCCGGTGACCACGCCTGTCGTTGGCTGGGACAGAGGAGGTAGGATTTGCAAGCAAATTACACAGATTTCACCCCTGCCAAAGTTTGAACAATGCCTGTTTTGAATGATGGATGGGTGCAGAGAGACATCACACCAAAGCTGAGCCACCTCTGGCCCCCAGAGGCCGGAAATGACTGACAGCAAAGTGAAGGGTAAGGAGATGAAAAAGAGTCGAGAGGAAAACATTAACAACTCTTTTATCTTTCATTCATGAAAGCCAACCTACTTGTGGTCCTTTCTTTCTTTCTTTCTTTCTTTCTGAATAAATACTGGCTAAATACTGTTTTGATTATGGCAGTTGTGGTGTTCACCAGTGTGTGTGAGAGACCTTGACTGCGCAGCTATAAAACAAATTGTCCTTCAGAAATAATGAGGCCAGATAACCCAGTTCTCCTCTAACCCAAACAGTCTCAGTGAGACTGAGAGTATCCGGAATACACACCGACAGACACAAGTAACGCCTGCTTAAACCTTGCATTTTGAACAAAAACAAGTTAACGACAGTAAATTTGAGTTTAAAAAAAGCGAGCACTGAATAGTAAACATACGCAGCTCTGGTGGCTCCAGTTATCTTCTGTTTGGACTTCCTCCCTCTTTCCTTTTTCTTGCCTTTTCTTGCTGGCTTCAGAAAGGCCCTGGGAGCACCAAACAGACAAAATGTCACACACGGACAGGAGTTAATGTCAAACGAACGGTTTTCAGTTTTGGAATCTTTTGGAAGAACAAGCACCAAAATAAGTCATCCTATAACTAACGAGTGAACATCCTGAACATGTCCTTAGATGAACTCTTTGAATGTTTCATAACTTTTTATAATGTTGATCTGCTCCTTTATCTGACAGTCTGGGATATGAAGATACCCATTTGCAATGTGGGTCATTTTAATTAATATTTTATTGATATTGATCATTCTTTACATAATTGTTATATTATCAAAAAAACATTTGTGGTATTGTCCTTTTCATTTCCCAAATTATTTAGTGACGTGCATTCGGCTTAAGTGTTAAGGGATGTGATGTTCAGATTCTCATTACACTGTTGTGTTTCAGGAGAGAGGACCTAAATGTGCGATGCTGCAGAGGAAGAACTGCACAAAATGTGTGAAAAGCATCTAAAATAACATAAAAGTAAACTAGACTAAATGGGTATATAAATTTATATAAACAAAAGACTAACCAGAGACAGGAAACGGCTGGTAAATGTCACACAAGTGAAACTAATTAACAAAGGTCAAGATAATTAGGTGTAGAGGATACAAGACATAAAAGAAAACATGGTAATAGAGACTGGGGAACAGGCAGCAACAGAAGGACAAGAAGGAAAATGAGATGGAAACATTTTGAGCCTAGAACTTTACCAAAACATAAAACCATCAAAGGTCAAAGGTTTTTCATGAGAAAAAATAAAAAAAGTAACACTCAGTGTCACTAGATAGATAAATATGACATTGAAACCAAACTCCTTAACTCTACTTTACAACAACTTTCCAAACAATCCTTATTTATTTAGCATTTGTCAAAAGAGGCATGTTAGTGCCTTTCTGTTAAGCCCAACTTTCTTCTGATTGGCTGCCTCTCACAAACACAAGGTTTGAACAGCAGGTGGGTGGAGCTACTGTGCTCAAAGCCAGAGCTGTGTGCCCAACATTACAGAATTAAAGATATCTCCTCTCTATGACATAGGAAGGGGTAAAAGGACCACACTTAGAAAAAATTTTTTTTATCAACTATTTTGAGAATAAAGTCAAAATTTCAAGATTAAAGTCGTAATTCTATTTTGAGAAAAACATCAAAGCTGTATTTCAAGAAAAAAGTCAAAATGTGGACGTTACAGTTGTACTTTCAAGACAAACTAAAATGGCTTGTAATGGTTGTAATGGACAGATCCAGGGTGTATTGATGGTTACACCCTCGTGCAATAAAGAGGATGTACATTGTATCACAAGACGGCTCATCAGTTTGTTTAACTAACTCATCCAAACATGTCATTTTGTAGAGAGTACAGCAGGCGCGACAGTTTGTCCGGAAACAACAATGGACTTTTTTCTCAAAATTATCAACAATACTTTTTCTTAATGTGGCCCTAATATTCCATCACATAGTGACATCACATAGACCCAGGACTTCAAAAAAATGTCTGAAACAGGGAGTTTAAAGCAGTCTGAAGATCAAATGTGCTGTTAACGAGAGAGAGAGAGAGAGAAATGGATAATAGGTTCGCTTTAATATGTTTAATATGAACTGCAGTTTAACATCGGTCAATGCCTTTCAAAGAGCCTGCAGTTGGTAAATAATTATTTCAATTTACTGCAACATTTTTCAATTCTAAGAACCTTTATGGATTTCTGTTAATACACTATTATTCAGAGTTAATCATTTTAAAACTCAACAGGCTATCTGACAGCCTGAGTTAAAAGGTCTTCAAAACTTCTGCTGAGGTTGATCTGGTGTTATTAGATACTAAGGAGGTTTTGCTATTGTTTCAGTTTGTTTCTTTTTTTTTATTAGTCAAAAACGTATGAACAGATTTGTTCATACAGATTTGTACAGGGCAATCACTTGTTGGAAATAATTTTACCTGGATAAATAAAGGATTATACACTCTCCAGAAAATATCTAATCGGCCAATCTGATGGCTGTAACCCAATGCATTTAAACTGAAACAAAATGTAGAAGCAAGACGATTTAAGTCAATCTGAATATGGCACGATTATTGGTGCCAGATGGACGGGTCTGAGTATTTCAGAAACTGTTGATGTACTGGGATTTTACCACAGAATTATCTCTAGAGAACAGCCTAAAAACGAGAATATTTCCAGAGAAATATAATCCAATTCTCTGGGTGAAAATGCAATGTTGATGACAGAGGTCAGAGGAGAACGGCCAAACCGCTTCAGACAGAAGGCAACAGCAAGTCAATTAACCACTTATCATGACCAAAGGTATGAGGTCTGATGAATTTTGACTTATGCTGCCACATTCAGATGATCTGGTATAAGCATCATGGATCCTTCTATCAACAGTTCAGACTGCTGGTGGTTTAATGGTGTGCAGGATAACCCGTTTTTATCATTTTGAGTGTCCAGCATTTACTGAGCACAATCTAATCCACTTTAATGTGGACTGGTGGCTTCAATAAAGTGCATCTACAGCTCTGTAGAGTTTTTTCAACTTCAACTCATCTCTGTTCCAGTCCCATCTGTTATATTAAATCATATCCAATTATGGGCACTGTACCATGTTTACCAGCTTAGCCCTGACATTATTAGCAGACTCTGTTGCCTCTGCTGCTGCTGTTGTTGTTTTTGGAGTTCTAATTTACTACTAGGGATGCGTGACTCTCCTCCGTCAGCCTGTGAGAGACCACATGGCAGGGGAGATAAAATCATCGCTATGGTGACAACAGGATGCCAGCCGTCCCAGGGGATGCTGGGAGAGAGTCACACAGATGCTAACTCTTTCAACATCACATGAAAGAACTCGTATGTATTAACACAAAGCACAGAACATATAAAATTTCATAAAAACACAGAGTCAAACAGGCACATAACCTGTAACTTTAAAGGCTTAGAAAACTGTATGCACCCACACACACACACACACACACACACACACACACACACACACACACACACACACACACACACA